TTTTACTCAAATTTTTTCGAATAATTATTATCGTCATAGAATTAAAAATATTAAAGTATTAAAAAGATAAAAAATTCTTTGGCAGAGAATTTTTGCATATGATTTTTTTTTAAAGAATCTTCATGATATTTTATATGAATGAAATTGAGGTTTATAAATATCCTTTGAGTTGATTTTTTATTGAGCACTGTAAATATCTAATTTAATCATTCATTATGTTCTAATTAAATATCTACAATTCATATAAATTTTTTTCGCACTAAATATATATACCTGGAATATTTATCTGACAATATCAGTATAAAACGTTATTTTAATACCAAATTATATATAATAGCATAAAAAGGATTAATCGTCGTACGTGAATTATTATGTAAAAGTCAACAGAAATTAAATAAATCAAATTGAAATAATGAAATTATACACCCATTGATTTTGGCTTTTTGTTACAGAACATGCGCAAACGAAGAAGTGCTCCACACCGGAATATATGAATTTATATTTCAAAGTAAAAGGCTTCTATTTCAAATATGTGGCCGATTTACCGCAATATAAAGCTTCAATTCCTGAATTTCCAACGTAAGCTTCCAGCTAAATCCTTTTTATAAAAGACATTCTTGGTTGAAATGAACATTTATTTTTCATTTTGCTAAATGGGAAAAACGACGTTAAAAAGTTTGCTTTCTCAATTTTTTTTTTTTTTGAAAAATTTCATTTACTATCACTTTGTGTTTGAAAATGAAACTTTGATTTGATGTAGGCTTTCTTGTTTTATAGGTCAAATACGTTGATTTTGTTGAGTGAAAGTTTTTAATATGTTAAATTTCAATGCATGAAATATCACATATGTTTTAATATAATTTATTTACTTTATATATTATTAGCTTTGGTTCTTTTTTAATCTGATTTCAAAATTTTCAGTTGGTTTATACCATTCGTAATGGATTGGTTAAATGAGAACGATGAACATTCGATGGATATATTGAGGAATGCTTACAATCGTGATAAGAGTGATAATTTCCCGCAAACATCCGAACATACGAAATTTTCCAATTCCGTTGTTGATGTATTCACACAGCTTAATGAAGCACTCAAATTGTTGAAACAGGTAAAATTATTTTGTGATAATATCTTTCTTATGAAGCTATATAAATTGGGGAATTTTTTTTTTGTCAATGCAAAAAATTTTAAATTGGGGGAAAATTTCAGTTAAAAAAAATTTTTCAGTTGAATGTTTAATTAATTTCTAAAAATTCATTTTTTTCGATTGGAAAAACTTGTTTTGACTGATTGAATTGCGGAAATTGAGAAAATTAGTATGTAATTAATTAAGCAAGTATTGAAATGAATAATGGCAAAAAAATAAATAAGCAAGTGAATTAGCATATTGAAAATATTTCAATATTTTTCAAAAAAAAGCGATTTTTTTCTGTCTTAAATTAGAATTTCAAAATATTTCAAAGTAAAAAATGTTACGAAATTTAACCTCCTTATTGTTGAAAAAGAAAATAATTTGTTTATACAGAAAGTTTATTTATAACATTGATTAAATATATAAACTGTATGGTTTCTTAAACAGAAATCATTCAATTTCTTTCCATCAAAAAAAAATAAATCAGACTTTTTTGCATTTATGTATTTTTGCGTATGATTTTTTGCCTATGTTTTTATGTCTTTTTTAAATTATACATTGAAAAAATATCCTCAAAATTTCAAACAATGATTTATTTCAAATTACAGAAATATAATACATTTGCATTTTCACTAATATGTTTTTCTGCCTAACTTCTAATTTTTTATTTTTCCTTCTTCTCAACCGCAATGTTCACGTTGACGTGAATTTCGATTTGATTAAATCCTGAATATTACAGATGGATTGTCCAAATCCGGAAGTATATGCGGATATGATGAAACGATTTTCAAAAACATTAAACAAAGTGTTGCTAGCATATGCGGATATGGTACAGAAGGATTTTAGCAAATTTGTTGACGATGAAAAACTTGCATGCATTCTAATGAATAATGTTCAGCAACTTCGGTAATTTGATTTAAATTTTTTGCTTTGCTAAAAAAATATAAGGTTTTATTTTGCTATTGAATCTTTAATACATTTAAAATGCGAACGAAAGTTTAATTTTGAAAAAAAAAACTTCCACAACATGCGATATTTACTGCCTGCAATTTAGAAAAGAAAAAACCGAGAGTGAAAAAGGTTTTTTTATTTTTTTAAATCTATTATCAATTTTTTGCCTAATAAGTTAGCACTGAAAAATAAAATAAAACCTGATCCATACCCATTAATTAGCTTCACTTAACATAATATCATACTTAATCAAGAGAACATGCACACTGCGTATTGCTCAGCAATTGTGCTAGCAGCATAATTAATGTAATATCCTAATTGATTAAACTATCTCGATATATTCCAGAGTACAACTAGAGAAAATATACGAGAATATGGGTGGTCCAAATCTTGATCCTACCGCAAATACGGTACTAAATAATTTGCAAAAGAAGCTTAATGCTGTACTGAATAAATTATCGGGACAATTTGTGGAAAATTTAGTGCCAAATATTCGTGTACAAATGAATAAATTAAGCGTTATTTTGAGTAAAATCAAAGGACCACAGTTGCCAAAAAGTCAATTGGTTGAAGTAAGTATTGTTTTTTTTTTTGTTCATTAGATTAATCTGATATGTTCAAAATCAAATATAATGCTACATATTCAAATATTTTTATATCTTATATTCGATTCGTTGAAATTTAATATATATATTCCAATTCTTCTTTTTTTCAACTTAATATTATATAATTAATTGTCGATAATTTAATCTAACTGAAACAAACAAATAATCAATTTTCTTTTCAACTAAGAGAGCATGTTTCACACTATAATAGAAATTGACATGATATTGATATCATACGTGCGATTTTTTATCCTCTCATCCATAATTTACAAAATTTCCGTGTCACTCTAAATAATTTTTTATTATTTCAGTCAATTTGAATTATTCAAATTATTTAGGAGGTGGAAATTGAAATTAAAATGAAATTTCAGGAAGTGGATTCCGTACTTGAACCACTGATGGAATTACTGGAAGATAAATTGCAGGATTATGCATCACAATGTGAAAAGACAGTGTTGAAGTATTTGCTGAAAGTTAGAATTCATTTATTTTGTTACAATTAAGAAATGAAAATATAATTGATGAAGTTGATTTAACTTGGATTATTCTCTGCAAGAAGATTGAAAGTTTGAAAGTGAAATTTTATTAAAATTAAAATATAGCACAAAATATGGGCACTTGGATAATCGGAGGTTAAATTTTTATTATCAAATACAGTTAATGATGGTAAGCGAATGAAATAAGCGTGGATAATAAAGAATATATTCTGAATGAAATCTTCAAAAATTTTTAAGTTTCATTCAGAGAAATAAAACTTTAAAAGAAATTGGTTTTTTTATGAGTTGATTACAAACTTTTACAAAATCTATATTTGATCATTTATTTAAAATAATTCATGAAATTATCAACAAATTAATCATTTGTGGATTAAAGTTTAAAAATTAAACGATTTTTTTTTTAAATTTTATTTTCGTAGGAATTATGGCGAGCAACGATAACGAGTATGGAAAAGTTGGTCGTGTTACCACCGTTTGATAATAAAGCAGTACGAATATTTCCTTTCATTTTCTATCCAAAAATTTCAATTTTTGTTTCGTAACAATCGTTACATATTGAAATTGTACTTTTCAATTATTCAAAATTTAAATCCGGACGTTTTTTGGAGAATGGAATTTCGAAATTTAAGTTTAATTTCTACAAATAATTTCATCTAATATATGAACTTTGGTTTATTTTAGATTTTAAAGCAAATACCAAATGCAGAAGTGTTCTGTGATATGACAAAGCTAATGTCAACTCATTTGAAAGAAGTGAAGAATATAAGTTCGGTAAAAGAAATGATGGTAAATTTTCTTTTGATCAACAAATTCAAATTAATTTTTACACAACTTTAATTTTGTAAAATTTCAAAAATTTTTTTGAATATAGTTTAAATGTATTGATAATAGCAATTAGCACAGTAATTTAGGATATTGCTCGAGAATATGAACGTTCATTAACTCCAAAACAGTGTACAGTATTAGATGCCGCATTAGATGCTGTAAAAGAATGTTTCCATGCTGGTGGCCAAGGATTGAAGAAATCATTTTTCGAGAAATCACCAGAATTGCAATCCCTGAAGTATGCCTTATCATTGTATACTCAAACCACCGAACAATTGATCAAAACATTTATTACCAGTCAGAAGCAACAAGGTTTGTTTGTTTTATTTGTTTACTTTTATTATCAAACTTTTAGATTTAATCATTCGAGCCAATAATATTCAATCTATCATTTCTTTATGGTATAGAAATGGTAACAAAAGGGATATTGTTATCAAATGATGGAATAGAATGTCTCGAAAATTTTATGCCAGCCAGAATAATAATAATAATATCATTAGACATTTCAGGCTTAGACCTGAAACATCTAATAGTATTACTTTTTTTGCATGTTAGCAGAATAGCTAATGGATGGGATTTATTTAATTTTTTTCTTTACCATATTTAGATGTAAAATTTGAATTTTCCAGTGATTAATTTTAATTAAATTCCTCTAATATTTTATAATTATATCTAGGTTTAAATTTTCTAAAATTAATAGTTAACTCTTATATTTGACACTTGCATTTGAACTTTTCAAATTTTAATTTTGCTGATTAAATATTTTTCAAATATAAATTTACAGATCTTCCTTCACAAGAGCAACCGGTTGGAGAAGTAAATGTTCAAGTGGATCTTTTCACGCATCCGGTAACCGGTGAACAAAAAGTTACGGTTAAGAGTACGTTTGTTCATTATCGTTATCGTTTCGTTTGATAATTTTATTATTTTTGCTGAAGACATTAGTCTCTTCTACTACTTCTACTAATACTCGTAATAATTTACGTACTTAATATCAATCTTACATTATTAAATTTTTATTACTAAAGAATTTTCTCTTTAAACTTCTACTAATAATTTTTAATATTTTCGTAAATTTTAACCATTTCATTTAATCAAATTTAAAAATGAAAGTTTTTTTGTCAAAAAATTTTATAAACCTATAGATTAAGGCTTACTTGTTACATAAAATGTTCCATTTGTTATTTATACAATTTTTGAAAATTTATTCAAAAATTCAATTTTCCTCTTTCTAAGCCTATTTAATCATGCCATCTCAAAACTATTTTAGGACTTGCGTGAACCTTTTTTATGACTCAAAAAATGAGCCAACCAAGGATAGACCATGATAGACCATGGCATAAGATTTTGAAAAGAATTTAGAAGAAAAAATAAAATGAAAAATCTTTTCTTTATTGCAGTATTGGCAGCAAATGATTTACGATGGCAGACGGCAAGTACTTTTAAACCATTTGTTGAATTACACCTTGTTGGGCCACATTTGGCTGATAAGAAGCGCAAAATGGCAACAAAATCGAAAAGTAGCAATTGGGCACCCAAATTCAATGAAACATTTCATTTGTAAGTAAAAGAAAATGAAAATATGAATAAATAAATGAATTATGGAAGAATGAGAAATAAACTATTCGATAATATTTTTGAAATTTCAGGGAGAAAAAAAATGAAATGAAAAAATTTTTATTTTATCTTTTCAAATTTACAACAGAATTGAAAAAAAATTTGGATTTTTTATATTGCTTCGAAAATTAAATTCTAACAAATATTATAAGCGAAAATGATAAAAATAAATTCTTATCCTTCCATTATCATCTTTTTTCGTATAAAAATTTTAATTCAGATTTTTTTATTTGAGTATTTTATCCGTTTATATGCTTACATCTAAATTGTTGATATGATTACGATATTTTCATCTTTCATTTATCTGCTTCTTAATGTCTTATCAAACAATGGATAATACATTCCAATCAATATCTGTTTACAGTTTTCTCGGTAATGAAGGTGAGCCAGAACATTGTGAATTAATGTTCCAAGTGAAAGATTACTGTTTTGCACGTGAGGATCGTATTGTTGGAGTTGGAGTGTTACAGTTAGCCAATATGGTAGAGCAAGGATCATGCGCTTGTTGGGTACAGCTTGGCCGACGATTTCATATAGATGAAACAGGCCTCATTTTACTCAGGTATGCAAATTTTCATTCATTAAATATAGAATTCATCAATATTTCCAATACCTTATTTATTCATTTTATCAGTTTATTCAATTCTACTTATTATTATAGGTATATTTTTGATTTTATTATTATTAGATGATATTTTGTTTTTATGCTTCAAAAATTCACTAATTTTCAAACAGTATCAATTGCTTTATAATTTCTACAAACTTTAGAATATTGAGTCAAAGGCAAACCGATGAGATAGCTCGAGAATTTGTACGTTTGAAATCAGAGTGTCGTTACGAGACTGAGTCAACCATTGCGGCACCGACAAGTAATCAGCAATTAGCAACAGGACGAGTAAGTTAATGAAAATAAGAAATGATACGCATTTTTGGTCATTTCGAAGTAATGCAATTTATACTTAATTATTTTTCAAAATTAAAACTTGAAGTTTATATAAATTGTTCATAATATTTGCAAAGAAGAAGGAGGAAATGAAATCATTTGAATGTTTGTTTTATTGAATTGCTCCAATATTGTTTATTGATAAAAGAAAAGCTAAACTTTGACTCTTGATGATTTTTGATTCAAAGATCAATATTAAAAACATTTTAATGATCTGAATTTATGTCAAATTTTTTAAGTTTCATTTTCGCTTTTCTTATTTACTCTGTTCATACGGCAATATTTGAAAATGTATGATTTTAGCAGCCATAATTAAATAAATTCGTTATTTTTTATGATTAAAATCGGATGCAATTTTATACTTTCTTTTCCAGGAGAGTTAGATAAAAGATGAAGGAATCCAATGTTATTTCTTTTAATTTTTCAAATTTTAATCTTCAGGTTCGATTTATTAAAAAAAATATGATGGAATTAGATTTATTAATAAGCAAATTTGTAAATGGGTAAATGTAAGTAAATAAGTAAAAATGCTTACATCAATGTCAGAGCAACTCTATTATGTATAATGTTGCTGTATTATTTTGGTCATTTTCATATCACTTTTTACTTCATTTTTCATTGGCTATAGTCACTTATTGTATACTTATTCAAATTTATCCAATTTTTACTCACTAACTAAACTTATAAGTTTATTATTATTATCATTATTATTTCATATAATGTTATATTATTAGACGTAACACGTCATGTATTATATGGGGCAAAAAATATTAGCTCAATTATTGTATGCTCGGGTAATTCGAATTAACCAAATTATAACGTATATAATGATTTTATATTAAGATCGTAACTCATACAATAATTCTTCCTTCCCAACCAGAAGGAAAAGATAAAATTGATAAGTGATATTATGTAAATTTATTTTTTGCCAGTGAGAAAATTTGCTAATCAAATGAAATGAAATTTTTAGAAAAACTAGAACTTACTTTCCTTTTTTTTTTTATTGTTTATCAAGTTAATCAGTGAGTTAATTAATAAATTAGGAATCTTTTTGCATTCATTATGGGAACAGAAATTCTTTTTATTTTACAGAGTTATGATCTTTTCTCGTGATCTTTTTCATTACCATTGTTATTATCATGATTAATATTATTTTTATTATCTGCTTTTATTAGCATCGTAAACATTTTTGAAAATCACTTTGTTCTGCCTGTAATGCTATGCTATGTTTCTGTTTGTGAATATATAATTTATTCTTTTGGATGTAAATAATTGACGAGAATAATTAATTATATATACCCAATGAGTAAGAGAGTTGGGGAATTGCGGGGGAATTTATTTTCCATTGGAGTAGACGATATTAATATATGGATGGATAATGAATGAATGAATTATCGAGGAAAAATAAATAAAACTTGATTGAAATTTATAAAAAAAGGGATCATAAAAATTTATTAATGCAGAACTCAATTTCTCTCATTCTAATGTCATAATTTTCAGCAATTTCTATTAATAATAATTTTGTGAGAAAGCTCTTATAAAGACCAAATTTGAGCATTTTTCTTTTTTCGATTGTTTTTTTTTAAACTTAAGTCTTTCTAATTTAAAATTAGTCGCATTTCAANNATTTCAACATTTAATGATTAACTTATATAAATTTATTTGTTTGTTCATTGTGCCTTTTTTCAAGAAGGTAAATGTACTATTGTATGTAATTAAGAAAATGATATGCATATTACGAAACAAAAATGCTTTACTGTATCACTGTGTATCAATACAGCAAAAATAAATAACTATCTGGAACCGGGGACCAAAGATATTTTGTAGCCTGAATGGAGTGAAAGTACCAAAGGGCTTGGATGGAGTGAAGATGCGAAGGATGTTTTGTGGCCTGGACGGATGAGAGTGTGAAAGATGTTTTGTGGCCTAGGAGGGATAAAGAGATTACCAATGATTTAAATGCTAAATGAAATGTTCTTTTTAAAAGAAATTCATTAAAATGTACTTGTAATAAAAAAGAAGCGGAATAGAATAAGTATATATTAATAGGATAATTCCTAGGTAAAATGACCATTAGTTATATTGATTGCATATGATTTCTGAATTATTATATTAGTATTAGTTTTTTATATTGGCTAAACAGCTAAAAGAAAAATATTTCATATGCATTGCTTCCGAAAATTGGCTCACATTGTCAGCCATAAAAAATCATATCCATTTTATGTTAATTCATTAATTAAATTGAAGCTAGAAGATTATTTAACAGTGAGGGGAAAATACCGAAAAAATAATTTTATTAATTTTTAACAATAATGAAAGTCAAAAACACTCAATATTATATGGTTTATTATGATTTACATATACATAAATGTTATATATAAGCTTTAAATAGCCATATAAAATTTCATAGAATTTGAAAAATTTCAAATTGAATATTAGCAAATAGATAGAAATGTTATCTGTTCAAAAATATTATGCATCGGTAATTCACTAATTTTATCATTTTTAATTGATAATAACAGATGAATTGAATGCGAATAGCATAACCATTACTTATTCATTTTTTTGTTTCACTTTTTTTTTATCAATTTTTTTGGAACAAGTCCAAGATTTTTACATTCTTTTTCGTTCTATCGAATCAACGATCAAAGAGCCAATCAATCAATCAATCAATCAACTATATTGATTGCGATGGGCCAAAAATGCACTTATCCCATACAAAAATCCATTGAAAAATGAGAGAAGCTGAAAAGAAAAAAATTTATGTTATGAATAAAATCTTAAAAATGCAAAAACATTGATTGTGACTTTTCAAATAAAAATTTTAATGATTCATATGAAAACATTTATCAAATCGTCTATTTGTTAAACTGCAAAAAGGTACATTAATTTTAAAGTAAAATTTAAAATTTAGAAAGAAAAAAAAAATCTAAAATATATGAAATGAAAATATGAATATTACCGATGCGAAGACCCATTCATAAATTGTTCGACAATGATTATGAATGATACCATCTGCGCCAACATCATTACAATTATTCGCCCACGCACCTGTTGAATAGTACGCTTCGATGAAGCCCAAAATAATGTACGAAGCGCATGCGGTCATCGAAAACATAAAATCCTACAATAAAATGATATGCTAAAAAAAAAAATTCTTTTTTTTTTGTTTAAAAGATGACAAAATGTTATAAAATATTTCTTTAAATTTTAAATTGAAATGAAAAAAAAAAGACTGAGACGTAATGCATATGATGAAAAAAAAAGAGATTATAAGGTATTTGTGTGATTTTTTGCTTCCAACAAAATTTTATAAATACTAAAAAAACAAAAGAACAAAAAAAATAGGATTAAAAGAGAAAAAAAACACAAATATATTATATTTTTATTACAGCTAATGTAGCAATGAGTTAGGCTAATGTATGGCTAAGGCTAAAGCTAAGAATTTCGTTTTCTTTTTTTTTTTTTTGTTATTTGTTTTAAATAAAAATTATATTTTAGAAATGAAAACTTACAGAGATTTTCCATGGCCAAAAATAAAGATGAGTTTGATGTAATTCGAAAAGAAAAACGATAAGAAAAATAAATGAGAAGCAAAGAGCAACACCAGCAAAGATAAGTAGAAAAGTTTGACCAAAAAGAATTCCTTTAAATGGTCCTGGACCATAAACTGATACAATTGATGATATTATCAGTAAGCCTACTATCTGAAAATGAATATCCTGGTTTGTTCTAATCAGGAATTTTGCATAGTTAGTAAAATACATGATTCTAAAAAATTAAACTGAAACAATAATATTATGATTTCTTTTATTAAGAGTTTGTTTTGATAAATTCTTTCATTGGGAACTTATTCTAATACACCAAATCATATTTCTTTCATCTATTTCAACAAAGTTTATTCATTAAAAAAAAACTTGCAATTTGAAGAATTCGTAGGATACCAGCCAGTTGGCAGCAGTAAGTTCCGTTGAAATTACCTTGACCAAAATAGTACTCTCGATTCTGCAAATGACCACCATCATCTATTTTGGTCATTGTTGTTGTTGCGGTGGTACCGATTGGTTCTGCTCGTGCATACCTCTCTTGTCGCGTTGATGTCATACCTGTAAATAGCCCTCTCTAAATTATAAGCCAAATTTTGAAATGAAAAGTCAAATTCTGAAAAGAAATCAAAATTCGACAATTTTTAGTTTTTTAAGAAATTAACAAGTGCATTTGCAACCAGCATTACTATCAAATTTTTGATTCGCAAGAAATTTTAAAAATAAAAAAGTACAGCCTATGATCGATAATTTAATTATTGAGCTTAAAATCAGAAATTCAAAATTTGAAACTCAAATGAAATTTATACAATAACTGAAAGAGGAAATATTACTATTTAAGACAAGAAAAGTAAACAAGACCATAGCTATATGTGATAAGCAAAGTCGGATAACAAATAGAAATCATAAAAGAGTGCTATAAATGTAAATATAATAATAATATTACTAAAATTTCTAATAAATTCAAATTTTACTTTTCAATGAAAATATTATAATTGCCTTTTTTCACTACTGAATTATATCATTTTGGATAATAAATCTATCATATATATAATAATTAAAAATTTGTTCCCTTCATAAAACTAAAAATCAAAATAAATTTGTCGATTTATTTTGCAGCATTTGCATATGCTATATATATATAGCAACAAAATTATGATGACAGGAAATATAGAAGAATTTCTAAGTAAGCTTAAGCAATCACATAAATTCCATCCTTCTTTCTTGTTTGTTTCAACAACGAGTAATAGCACGAACTTAATATATAATTAATAGCCAGTTTATCTGCACTAAAATAAACGATAAAACATTTCGTAAGAAAAACAAACATTAAGATCAAATTTTTTTTTTTTCAATTGAAATTTTAATAGTTTAAGAAAAAGATAATTTCAATTCAAACGTTGTATGGAAAATTGATTATGCCGCTATGAGTGAAGCGAAGAATTGAGTCCACGTAATTATTGCTATCAGTGATCATCAAAAAATGATTAAATTTTATCCAAGAGAATCAAAATTTCATAAAATTCTCATTTTCAAATTTGTAGAAATTTATAATAATACTTGCAAATACAGAACACACACACACACACACACACACACACACACACACACACACACACACACACACACACACACACACATGCATATTTCGACTTCTGTATCAATGAAGCATGAAATTTCATTGAAATTTAAATGAAGAATTTCATGATTAAAATTCGATTAGAATTACAAATAAAAACAAAATGAAATGAAATGAAATGTGCTAAACAAACTGCTTCCCAGTCTTTAATATTGCCTTAATGTGAAATGAAAGAGAAAAGTGTTTGAGCAAAAATGACAGCACAAATTGACAAATATTGCAAAAAAGGTTAAACATGCTGGTTGAGTAATATTCTTTAACCTTTTTGAATTAACAAGTAAATATTGAAAATTTTGAAAAAAAAAATATGCGCACAAATTCTTTTCGTTAACTTCTGTCAATTGATATTAAAATGTGCACATTGCAAGCATATCGTAAACTATTGAAATATCACATTTGTCATCAAAAGATGAAAACATTAAAATGAACAATTTCATAGTATTTGATGGGTGTGTACATTCGCGGGTATTTTATGTGTGTGTTTGTGTGTGTGTGTGTGTGTGTGTGTGTGTGTGTGTGTGTGTGTGTGTGTATGTGTATGTGTGTTATGTATGCGTGTATTTGTATGTGTGTGCATACGTCAAATCGGTCTGTGCACAGCTTTCTTTTGACGAGGCGTACGAATCTCCGACTAATCGATAAATAATACAATTTATACAATCTTGTTCTTTAAAATTTCAATTTCAACTTCTCTCAACTAACATCATATCACTGTCTTGTACTAATTTTTTTTTTTTT